TGTCGGACGTCGGAGGCGTTGAAAGCGCGCTTGCCGCGCTCGGGAAAGTGTCCCTCCTCCGTTTTGTGATGGGGAGGAGGAGGAACAGGCGGAGGAGGAGGACAAGGTCGAAGAGGAGGGAATACCCGGTTGTTTTGTAACTTCTTTGTTTGTTTTGTAGTTTCCTAGGAGAGTTTTTGGGGCCTTTCGGGAGCCTCTTGGGGCCTCTGTGGGTTTCCTGGAGGGCCTCTTGGGAGCTTCTCGGGGCTGAGGGCTCGAAATGTCCGTTCGGGTCCCCCGTCTGGGCGTTCTCTTGGAACCGCTTTGGGGGCCTTTTGTGAATCTGGGAGGCGTCTTGGGCCGTCATGGGGCACTTTTGGGCCGTTTGGAGACCCTCTCGGAGGCCTCTTGGGCCGTGTCGGGGCGATCTTAGGAGCCTCTTGGGCCGTCTTGGCGCGTGGGGAAGCGGAAGAGGCGAAAACGCCAAAAATCCTTGAAAAACGGATGGGAAATTCATGATTTGTACCTCTTGGGGCTCTCGTGGGAACGGCCCTGAAGGCCTCTTGGGGCGTCTCGCAAGGTTCTTGGGCCGTCTGGGGGCCGTCGAGGCGTCTTGGACATATCATTCGGCGATTCAGCGCCCCCTTGGATCTTCTTGGTGGCCTCTTTGGGCACTCTTGGCCCGTCTTGGGACTTTTTGGGGCTCCGGGATTCCCCGGGGGGGACCCGTCCCGGGACCCCGGGGGGCGGCGTAAAAACCCGGGACCCCCCCCCCGGGACCCCCCCCCCCGGCGGGGAGGGGATCAAAGGGAAAGGGCTTCCCTTCGACTCAATTACGACGTTGCTCAGTTTCGCCGAGGAGGGAACAGACAGAGAAACTTCTTCCACACGCCGACAGGGTCGGCGGATTTGAACATTTTTGGGTTCTACGAGCATTTCGTGGTAGGACTATGGGAATACCGGGACGGTCGGTCCCTGCTCAAGGGCCGCCTTCATTTCGGGGGTGGACAGACCTCCCACCCTGACACGTCGATTGAGGAATTGGCCGTTTTCGGTTCGCGAGACGGCGTCGCAGCTGTCGTTTTTGCGGGTCCAGGTCCGTCGGATTCGGACCCCGGTTTTTTTCAATAAAGGGGAGGTTTGCTAAAGGGAGGTTTGTCCACTGCCGATCATTCGTCGAAGAAGCATAGACGCCATAGACATAAACTTTTGGCGCTCCGCGCGGATTTCTTGCATCCGCGCTGGACTCCCCTCCCTGGCACGCGGAGCGCGCCAGGGGCGACGCCGGAGGCGCCGGGGAGGGGGATCCAGCGCGGATCCAGGAAATCCGCGCGGAACGCAAAAACTCATGTTCATGACGTGGCGTTTTTTCTTCTCCTCATTTGGCTCCTAGCTTTGTTCAGATCTCGCCAGGGTCCTGGGTCGGTGATTCATAACCGGCTCCCCTTTCAGTGGAGACCCATGCCAAGACACACCCTGCTTGCATCTTGGATGCCCTGGGTTTCTTGGTTTTCGATGGTTGGGGTCTCTGGGTTGAGTTTCTTGTGGGAAGTTTCTTGTGGACTGGCCTCCACTGTATGGCCACGCGCCCGGGTCAGTAGAGCCGCTTGGTGATTCATCATGAACCGGTTCCTTTTACCCGTGGTTTTGGCCATATCCGCTTTGTTTCAGGGGAAGGCTCAGGAATCTTGTCAGAAGGCTGGAGGCCGCCCGAGCCTTCTGAGAAGGCCCACCCTCTCCTTAGCTTGGGACCCGGTCACGGCTTGGGGCCCAGTCGTGATGGGGCCCCAGGACAGCAACAGGGAGCCAGAGTCACTCAATCGAGTCTGCCGCAGCTGGTGTCTTTTCTTCGGGGCACGGCAGTTCCCGTCGGTCGGATGGTGCGGGGCGGACGCCCTCCGGCCCACATCATTGAGCCAGGTCCTACCAGACCCAGTCCTGCCAGCGTCCGACTTGTGCGGTCCTTCAGGGGCGCCTCAGAGGGACCCGAAACTCCTGGCGGTTTGGTGGAGTTCGTTCGGATTTCTTTTGAACGATGTCTGGTGGACATTTGGACGACATTTGGTCGACATCTGGACGATCTCTTTCGAGCGATGTTCTTTTGGAATTCCTTGCGAGTTGCCCGGCATCTGGACGACATCTGGTCGAAAGGGTCGGGAGGGGTGGTCGCAACGTGGACGAATCCGGGTCGAAGTCATGTTTATGATAGGGCCGCGGAGGTCCACAGAGGCTCCCATGAATCAGGGTGGGAAAAAAACACACAGACACAATTAATCGCCCATTCCCAAGAAAATATGGGAACATATAGGAAGTGGGGGGGAGACAAAAACCCAGAACATATGGGAAAATATGGGGAATCCTGTTATTTGTGTGTATCTATTTGTGTGTCCCAGGGCCCCTTCAATGAAGGCTCACCCAGTCGGCCTCCCAGATGGGGTCCGAGTAGGTGGGGTCGTAGGGTCGCGCCGCATCGCCGATTTATTCGCGATGCGGCTCGATTTGGCGCCCGATCTTCTCCACGCCGACGGCGCCGATGCATCGGCGATGCGGCGTGATCCTCCGGCCCCACCTACTCGGACCCCTTGAAGCCTCGACGGCGAAATCCGAGCCCTAGCCTCGTCGAGAAACGATTTAGGCAACTCTATGGGCAGCGGGGGTAGGGTTGGGAATTCGTCGAACACGTGGCGATATCCGAGCCCTGCCCCCGCCTCCCATCGATTCAGGAGAATCGACGGTTGGTGGGGGTAGGGTTCGGATGTCGCCACGTGTAGATTCGGCGGGCATTCTCAGAAGGCTCGGAAGGCCCCTGGCCTTCTGGGAAGCTTTCTAAGTTTTCCCCAGAGACATATCGAATATAGACAGGACGTTGGGTAAGGGGAGCCAGTACCCCAAACATTGGCTGGAATCAATCATTGAACCAGGTCTGTCGTAGCTGGTGTTTCTTCTGGTGGCGGCAGCTCGGGTTAGAATCAACCCGCATAGGAAGGATGGGCAACCCTTCCAAGGACATCCTTGCATCCTTGCCTCCTCGGTCCATCCTTCGCCACTTCCGTTGAGGCTGAGTGAAGCGGGCTGAGGCTGAGGCTGAGGCAGGCTGAGGCTGAGGCTAAGGCAGGCTGGTGCTGAGGCAGGCTGAGGCTGAGGCTGAGGCAGAGGCAAGCTGAGGCTGAGGCTGAGGCAGGCTGAGGCTGAGGCAGGCTGAGACTGAGGCCTAGGCTGAAGGCACAGTGAGGCTGAGGCTGAAGCAGGCTGAGGCTGAGGCTGAGGCAGGCTGAGGCTGAGGCTGAGGCAGGCTGAGGCTGAGGCAGGCTGAGGCTGAGGCTGAGGCAGTCTGAGGCTGAGGCAGGCTGAGGCTGAGGCTGAGGCAAGCTGAGGCAGACGCTGAGGCAGGCTGAGGCTGAAGCAGGCTGAGACTGAGGCTGAGGCTGAGGCTGAGGCTGATGCAGGCTGAGGCTGAGGCTGAGGCTGAAGGCAGACTGAGGCTGAGGCTGAAGCAGGCTGAGGCTGAGGCTGAGGCAGGCTGAGGCTGAGGCTGAGGCAGGCTGATGCTGAGGCAGGCTGAGGCTGAGGCTGAGGCGGAGGCTGATGCAGGCTGAGGCTGAGGCAGGCTGAAGCTGAGGCCGATGCTGAAGGCAGACTGAGGCTGAGGCTGAAGCAGGCTGAGGCTGATGCAGGCTGAGGCTGCGGCTGAGGCAGGCTGAGCACTGAGGCTGAGGCAGGCTGAGGCTGAGGCTGAGGCTCAGGCTGAGGCGTGAGGCTGAGGCTGAGGCTGAGGCAGGCTGAGGCTGAGGCAGGCTGAGGCTGAGGCTGAGGCCGGCTGAGGCTGAGGCAGGCTGAGACTGAGGCTGAGGCAGGCTGAGGCTGGGGCTGAGACTGAGGCTGAGGCTGGGGCTGAGGCAGGCTGAGGCTGAGGCCGAGGCTGAAGGCAGGCTGAGACTGAGGCTGAGGCAGGCTGAGGCTGAGGCAGGCTGAGGCTGAGGCTAAGGCAGGCTGATGCTGAGGCAGGCTGAGGCTGAGGCAGGCTGAGGCTGAGGCAGGCTGAGGCTGAGGCTGAGGCTGAGGCTGAGGCAGGCTGAGGCTGAGGCTGAGGCAGGCTGAGGGAGACGCTGAGGCAGACGCTGAGGCAGGCTGATGCTGAGGCAGGCTGAGGCTGAGGCTGAGGCAGGCTGAGGCTGAAGCAGGCTGAGGCTGAGGCTGAGGCAGGCTGAGGCTGAGGCAGGCTGAG